GGCAGCAGGCCAGCCCCTTCGTGCTGCGGGCGCGGCGCTCCATGGACAAAAGCGGGATGCCCTGGCACCTGCGGTACCTGGGCCAGCCAGAAATCGGTGACAAGAACCGCCACGCGCTGGTGCGCAACTGCGTGGACATCGCTACCTCGGACAACCTGACGGACTTCCTGGTGGAGATGGGCTTCCGCATGGACCACGAGTTTGTGGCCAAAGGGCACGTGTTCCGCAAGGGCATAATGAAGATCGTGGTGTACAAGATCTTCCGCATCCTAATACCGGGAAACACGGAGAGCATCGAGCCGCTTTCCCTCTCCTACCTGGTGGAGCTCAACGTGGTGGCACCAGCGGGACAAGATGTCGTTTCTGATGACATGAGGAACTTTGCTGAGCAACTGAAGCCTCTCGTGCACCTTGAAAAAATTGACCCCAAAAGGCTAATGTGATTGAGGAGCTGGGCAGTTGAGGCATTGGTTCTGTTAGTCTTCCTGAAGCAGGTATTTTATTTTCTAAAATGCCTTTTGAGGGCAAAAGAAAACAAGGAGAGGGGAATAAAGGACTACATATCAGTGTTTTGTCAGCTGCAGTTCCTGAGTGTTTTTTTCCTTTGCTTGTGGATGTGAACAAAGTGGACAATTCTTTAAACTAACGACCATTCAGAACGTCAGCAAATGCTAACAGTGGTAATTGTCCTTCTCCTGTTGGGGAGATACTTGTTAGGCGATACGCTTTCTAACAATCCAAAATCCACTGACTTACAGGAACTCCTCCTTCTGTGTACCTTCATCCCAGTGCTGCTTGCTTGGCATGAATGCTTACACCATTCATGTATCCTGCCTTGTCATCCTTTTTTCTTTTAAGCAACACATGAAGATAGTGTCCTTTAATGCAGGGGGTGTTGTTTAACACAAGCATAAACCCAGGAACTCCCCGCTATAAAGGAGCAAGCATGCCCCTGTTTACAGTGGAAGAGTAAAGTCACAGTATATATAACAGGAACAGCTAGCACCCAAGACACTTTATCGCGAAACTCTTCCTGATATAACCAAAGTTAGAATTGGAAAAAAGAAAATAAAAATTAATGCAGTTCCATCTTTTTCACTGAAGTTGGGTGCAGCAGTCTTAGAAAGCAGTAAATTAGATGGATTTTTTTTATTATTAGACTTCTCACATCTGATAGTAACATTTAAATTTGACACATTAAACAATTAAGAGCATCATACAGCTGCTAATTGAACTAGTGATGATTTTGTTTAGTACCTCTCTTGCTAGTAGGATGGTTGGTTACTCTCCCTGTATTTCAATTATACTTGAGTTAGGTTTGAGTTTTCAAATACAGTTCAAACAAAAAAGGGTTGGGAAAACCAACAATGATTAATAAGCTTATTTAAATTTTTCAGGTTCTTTACAGAAGGCAGCCATTTTACCTGTTACTAAAACGCACCAGCCTCTGTCAGAGATAGTGCCACCACACAACCCTCTGTGTGGAAAACAACTCAAGGCAAAGGCCACTACCATAAAAAGCTTCCCAAAAAGCCTTTTTTTTAAGTTAACAGCTATATTTTCAACACCAGTCTGGACAAGATAAGCCACGACAACTGGATTAGCACTTGTCAAGTGCAGTGTCCCAAGTGTTCCACTGCTGGGCTCTACGCACAGGGCATGGGGACAGCCGAATGCTGGCTGGAGAACGCCACCAGGCTGAATACACCACAGTGGGTTTCCAAAAGGGTACAAGCACTGAGGTCACCGGTGCCACTGCTCATTACCTGGACTGGAAGTATTTTCTAGACCAAGGGTCCTCAAACTTTTTAAAC